TGGGGATTAGGTCGGATTTCTTCGAGTGATTGTGATATTGTGGTGTATGTGTATGACAGTGTTGTGTGGATGAGATGCTGTGGTGAAAGGAACAATGTACGAAAGATTGGCTCAGTAAATGAGATTAGCTAGCTTAACGATAAGACACGTAAAAAACAGCCTAATCCCTATTCCCAAATTTTGCTCATGTAGCTTATTTGTATATTGTACAATAAATACCGAGAAGTTAACGATTAACTGTTTATTACCTTAGTCTATGTTCTCAACCGTGTATCATATTAATCCCCTTTCCCCTCCCCATTTAGGTGACAAGGGTTGCAGTTCTCTGGTAAACTGCGGTATGTCTTTCATTTTCAAGTGTGACTTTTCGTAATTGTTATTGTGTGAGTACTTGTGTGGGTGATTGTAAAACGTGTGCATGGAAAACATTTTATTAATCCCACAGTAATTTTACGTCCAGTTAACTGTTATCTCCACCATCATTAGACTGTAGGGAGCCTATTACTAGCACTAGTTTTGTTTGGTTTTTACATCATAAACATTGGAGATATATACATTTAGATTTTTAACATCCCAGCTCTCCACAAAACTGTACATATAGAATTAGGAAGGAATTCTTAGAGTAAATGGGATATTGTGGTGTATGTGTCTGGTAGTGTCGTGTGGATGAGTATTTTGGTGAAAGGAACAATGTACGAACAATTGGGTCAGTAATTAATGCTAGCTAAGTTAACGATTAGACAAGTGAAGACCAGCCTGACCCGTCCAAATTTGGCCTATGTGGCTTATTTGTACTTTTGTACAATAAATACCATGAGTATGTTGTGGAAAAACAATACGAAAAGAAATAATAATAATAATGATAATAATAATAATAATCTAAATTGTTTAATAACCTATTCTACAACTCAGGGATGACATCCATCTACAGTGCTGTTCGATAAAAGTGATACCTGATTTTTTTTATGAAAAATATTTTTTGTCTATTGTTTTGAGGGTTAAAATGGAAGAATGTTCTCTTCTCCGATGAAACGAAAGTTGAGCTAAATTCAAAGGATAAGCGATCTAAAATCCGAAGAAGCTTTGAAAGCTCTTTGAATTTAGCAGTAAATACTGTCAAGCATCCGTTCAGTATAATGTTCTGGGGATGCTTTTCTTTTCATGGAACTGGTTTCTTAAGACCTATTGAAAAGACCCTCAGGATCGACCAGTACAAGAGAACTTTAGAGTCTTGTCTGCTCCCTTCTGCTGAAAGGGTGTAAATCGACCCCACCAATCTCATTTTTATGCAGGATAATGATCCCTGTCACAAATCAAAATTGATGAAGGAATACTTTGATGAGAAGCAGGTGAGTATTATGACATGGCCGCCGCAATCTCCTGACCTCAACCCCATAGAAAACTTATGGAGCATTATAAAGTATAGGCTCTTGAGAAAGCAGTTGAGTAACAAACAGGATTTGATTGTGAATTTCATATCTGAATGGAATTCAATGCTTGGAGATGAGATTTGCCAGAACATAATCAAGTCAATGCCAAAAAGGGTTGAAAAGGTTATTCAAAATAAAGGAGGCCCCATAGATTATTAAATATTTCGAACTATATTACCTATTATAAATAAATTATAAATAAATTATACCTCTATTATTCTTTATTTAAAGCTGTTCGGTTATGTTTCTATTGATTACTAGTTGCAGAAAATAAGTGAGTCACTTTTTTTTGCACAGAGTTTTTCCCTAAATCTCATTTATATCCAAAATTATAATTATCAATAGAATACCTTAGGGTGAGTAAAATTTTTTACTAGGTGGTCAGGAAGGGGTCTTTATATTAGTAAGATTAAAAATTAGTTTGACCCCCAAAAACAATAAGCGAAAACATTTTTAAGTAAAAAAAAATCAGGTGAGTTACCTATATCGAACAGGACTTTATTTGCCAAAGACGACAATGAGTTAAATGGTCTTCTCAATACTGTAAACTGTTTCAGTGATGACAGCGATAAGAATTTCGGATTGGATAAATGTGCAAATGTAACATTCAAGAAATGGAGAATTACAGAAACACATTCAATAGATTTAGATTTTTTCACAAAGATTAGGAATACTGCATACCCAAATGAAGTAGAAAGTGAGAAAAGAATACTGCAGGCGTGTGCGTTTGGTGTTAACTACCGAGTTGAATTCACAAAACTGAATCAGCCGTAAACACTAAGGTTGTCCCTGTGGTGCAATACAGTTTCAACATCTTTAATTGGACCATAGATGACAATAAGCAACTGGATGTCAAAACAAGAAAGCTTCTCGTTTGCCATCGCATGCATCACCCTAAGGCTGATCTTGATCATCTGCATGTGCCAAAATCCGAAGGAGTCAGAGGATTAGTTCAACAAGAACAGTCTTACAAATACACAATAATCAGTCTTCAAAGATAACTTGAAATTGCAGAAGATTGGATGATTATCTGTGTCAAAAAACAGGAAAGAAACAAGAAGCTTTATTCGGTAATAAAGGAAGCCAACAAATTCAAAAGAGAATCTCAAGTGTGGGTAGAAATGCAAATAAACCATAACACACATATCGCAGTGGCAAAGAACCTAAAAAAGACAGCAAATGTAATGTACCAAATGTAGAAAGGATGACAATTTAAGCGTCGTCATGGTCAATACTCCGGCCGTACCAAACAAGGTGATGTAGATAAACCTCATATCCTTCAGTGATTATGCAGTACAGGGTTAAAAGCTGAAACCAAAGGTTTACTTCTTGCTGTACAGAACCAATGGCTGCAAACTAGAAATTACCAAGTACACATTGTGAGAAATTGTGTTAACTGCAAAGGAAGATTCTGTTATTAATATCCAGAAACAATGGACCATCGTGTATCAGGTTTCACTGTGCGAGCACCTATTGAAAATAAAATTCGGCATGATAGAAAAAAAACAATATATGTACGGGAAAATATGCAACTTTTACGGAAAGAAAACTGCAAGAAACTGGTATGAACACCACCCAGACCCAGTTACAGACATAGGACCCGTGATCATTTTATGGGATAAATTCACTCAGAAAAATCAAAGCTAATCGCTTAGACATTGTGATCAAAGACCACAAGAACAGAATGTGCTTTCTTATTAACATGGCAGGCTCTGCAGATTGTAATGTATCTTTAGAGATGTTTAAAAAACTATCAAAATACAAGGATCTTAACCCGAGAACACTAACCATCAATTAAAGTTGCACCACTATTAACCATGGGTATATTATTTTAAAAAATTAAATATAAATCTTTATTTGAAATATTTTACATACAGGCACTTCAAACTTTGTACTTTGAGGTAACATTAATAGGAACTGAAAAACATATTATTTAGGTAAGAAAATCAGGTACTGAAAACTGTAATTAAAAATATGAAAATTTGCGCAGGGTACTATATACCCATGGCTAGTGTTCTAGGGTTAAAGTGGAAATCTCAAAAATGTGGCACGTGAGGACATCAATAATTCCATTTGTAGTTGGAGGTCTCGGATTTATTGGAAAAGAATTTGATAGACTCATTGAAGGAGTTCCTTCTAGCACATGCCCTAAAGAAATGGAAAACAAACTGTACTCACAAGCACAGAAAAGAGTATACAACAGAAATCAAAGGAAATAATAATAATAATAATAATAATAATAATAATAATAATAATAATAATTCATGGTGAGAAAAATGTTAACAATCGAAATTTTCGAACACTCTTGTTCCATTTATCAATGATATATATTAGCTAACCCCCACAGATTCGCGATACTCCAGGTCTAAAATGAATTATTATGTATTTTAAGTTTAAAATATCGCAGAATATTTAAGCACACAAAGACCACAAACAAAAACGGTGCCTCCTTATTAATATGGCAGTCCCTGCTGACTGCAATGTATCTTTGAAGATATTCAAAAAGCTGTCAAAATACAAGGACCTTGAAATAGAAATCCCGTAAATGTGGCATATGGGAACATCAATAATCCCTGTTGCAGTTGGAGCCCTAGGATTCGTTGGAAAAGATTGCAGTAGACTTATTGAAGGGATTCCTGGAAGTCCATGCCTCAAGGAGATATAAAAAATTGTTCTTACAAGTACAGCCCACACTTTACGAAAGGCTTTATTTATGTAATTTTTTTTTTTTTTTGTCAGTGGAAAGTGTCATGATACCATTTCTAACCTTAGGTTCCTGGGCGGGACCCGGAAAGAAATGTGTAAACGCCAGAAATCAAAGAAAATAATAATAATATATTGTGCATTTTTTATTATTAGGTCATTTGACAAAATAGAATCATGGTGAGAAAAATGTTAAAAATCGAAATTTTCGAACACGCCTGTTCCATTTCTCAATGATATATATTAGCTATTCGCGATACTCCAGGTCTAAAATGAATTATTATTTATTTTAAATTTAAAACATCGCAGAATTTTTAACACAGTAGTAACTGTTTATTTAAGCATTTGACGTTTTTGAGTGCTTGATGGCAGATTGATTTTTACCTAATGTTGTTTTATGTAAGCTTTAGACGTAAAAAAATAATTGAATATAACGCGAGCGCCTTCTATACATAGTTTTTAAGTACTCATTAACCTTTAAAATTAAGGAACTATTCCCTGTAATCTAATGTTTTATTTAATTTTAGATACGTTTTGGCTTTAAATTTACTATAGCTATCACTTTTATTTTCTGTTAATGCTGTGTATGTACCTCCCTATCTACAAAAATCGGCACGTTTATACACATGCAAAAAAATTCGAAATTTGTTTATAAATATTGGTTTTTGAGGATTTGTACTAAGATGGGGAATATTTTCGGTTCGATCTATAACAGTTTGCAAAGAACTTGTTTTATCATTGCGTCTAAAATATTTATCAGGTTTTTATACATTACAGATAAATTAACGGGAAAAGTTATACATTTTAAATGTTTTTCATTATCAATGATGTATTTAGAAAAAAAAAGAGAAAACCAAAGAAAGAAAATTAAATTTGAGGAAACATAAAAAAATAAGAAAGAGAAGAAGAAGAAGAAAATAAATAGAAAGAAAGGTAGTGTACAACAGAGAAGAAAATGAAGAAAAAAAGAAACAAAAATAGATAGATGAAATAAGAAAAAAAGGAAAGGAAAATAAATAGAAGTAAAAAAACAGAAACAGGAAGTAGAAAAAGACAGAAAGTAAAAAAGACAGAAAGTAAAAAAGACAGAAAGTAAAAAAGACAGAAGGAAAAACGAAAGTGATAGAAATAAAGGATATTTACATTTAACTTGACATTGTTTGTCCCGCAAAAATACTTCAAGTGTTTGTCAAAAAGAAAGAAGGAAAGAAAGAAAGTAGAAAAATAAAAGAAAAGAAGAAACTGAAGTATATGAAAGAGAAAAATAAAAAAAAAATAGAAAGAAAAACCAAGGAAAAAGTTGGAAAGAAAAAAGACAGAAAGAAATTACAGAAAAGAAGGACATTGACTTTGTAACTTGACTTTGTTTGGCCCGCTAAAAATGCTCCAAATGTTTGAGAAGAAAGAACGAAAGAAGAAAAGAAACAAAGGATAAAATCATAAAAGAAAGCGACCATCAAAAGTAATGCTTGAAAAAATAGAAAGAAAAAAGAAATATAAATGAAAGAGCGGATAAAAGACGCAACAAATGAAAGAAAGAAATAATATCATATGAAAATAAAAGAAAGAAGGAAAAAGTGAAAAAAGAAAGACAAATTAAGACATAAAAAAAGTAAAGAAATTTTGAAAAAGAAAGGGAAAAAATTACGAACTAAAATGAAGAAATGAAAAAAGAGACGAATATTAAGGTAAGTAAAAATATCGTAATGCACAAAAAATACAATTTCACTATGCACATGCGCAGATTTGACCTAAAGACTGAACGTGAATAAATTCCGTTTGGCGTGAAAGTCAAACTTTGAGCATTATCCTCCATTTTGTCAAGTTCAAATCGGCAATGGCACGCATGCGCACATAAATAATCTCACCCGCTTAACAGCAAAAATACACGTTCATTCATTTCTGTAAATCTCTCTCTCTCTCTCTCTCTCTCACTCTCTCGCTCTCTCATTTATATAAAGCGTAAATATATATCAAGTAAAGCTATATTTTTCCTTGCTGTCAAAACCATTTACGAAGAGTTGGATTTATCCCTGTTTCTCCCAGGCCCGGCTATTTAGACGTGGGTGGCTTCTTATTTTAAAGTGTCGCATAGTCACAAGTAGAAATAAAACTCTATTCGTAGATACTTAACTGTTTGTATGCACGTATATTTAGCAAGTACCATCGGGCGTTCAGCTAAATAGCTTATTCATTCGATTTCATTTCTCCAAAATTGTCAGCAGATCTATACTTTCGTAGAAATAATTCTTTCAGAGGATAATCGAAGCAGCATGTATGAATTGGCGATGCCCAACTCCTCCTAAATAACATATGAGAGAATCTACTGGATATAGGGAGAGCATATTTCCCTGTGGTCTCACTTAGCCCCACCCACTGATACATGTTTCGTTTTGCTACATTTAGCACGCTCCTGTGTTACATGCTTTAAAGATGTAGTCTATGTTCTTTTTTTATGTAATGTGTCTCTTCGAGGATGTGCGTTTAATGGATATTGACTCGGGATGAGAAATCGGAGAGCCGAGTTCGAATTCCAGTCGAGATTCATTATATTCACTTACACATAAATACACTTGGGAAAGGTAAGAATCTGTTTACACTCCCCCAGCTTTGGGTTAAGTAGCAGACCAGATTGGGTATTTGCCCTTGGCTGGCAACCAGTCTACTGCAGAGAGAAATGGCAACCTACTGCGGGACTGATATTCGCTCAGTCATGTATCGAAAGTTCATCATGGTTAGTCGGAACTCCATTGACAATTCCTTTCCACACTGTTCGGTCCTGCACTGCTGTCCACAGATCCCCAATGTCCAACCCTGAGTCCCGAGCTATTGTGTCTGGGAAAATCAATTTTCGTGAGAAAACACTTCCAGAATGGTGCCATAGGAGATCCATGTCCGCTCGGTGGCAGTGGATGGAAAACTGTAATTGGTTTCGTTTGATCTTAAGAGAGATTGGTCCCAGTTCTCCGTAAATTGTGTTAAGCATTGTATAGAGATCTTCAAGTGATGTTCTGGATTTTTCGAAGTAGATTTGTATATGTTCCAGCCAGTCGTCTTTCAAGGCGAGCAGATAATCCAAGTTACTGATACATGCAAATGATCACCTAATCATGTCGAGACGTGGGAGATATAGCTCTCCAAAACTTCTTATCATTTGTAGCTGTAAGCAATGTTTGACCGCTTACTATACTTTCCATTCCCTGTTCTCGTATGTAATTATAAAAGTGTTATGGTCCGGTTCCTTGTACCGCGGTGATAGTCCAAGATAGAACCAATAAAGAAGAACTCGAACACAGGTATGGAATAATACAGATATATTACAAACAGGAATATATACAGAGAAGTAGAAAGTGTTAGTATGAACAATCAGGTTTAGTAGAGAGAACAATGTAGTCTCGACCAGTATCATTATTCAAATGTCTTGTAGTAATTGTCTGAACGCAACTCTGTTTCGAACTGCCTCTGACTCGACTGACTGACAGACTCCTGACGGACTTCACTCCAGACTAAAGACTGAACTCCCTGCTTCCTCTTGAGGCGCAGTATTTATTACGTATGGAATAGTCCATTATGTTATTAGAGGTAAGGTCCCATAATAAAAAGCACGTTATATTTGTTATTCAATATTTCACACAGATCATTTTGCCATTTCCTTGTTTTCTTTCCTTATTATGTCTTCCAGTAATTTCAACTTTATCTATCTGATTCTGAATACTAGTTTTCTCTTTGTTTCCATTGTCATGAGATGCATTCCCTCATCCTAACGGCAGCCATTAATCTCCCGTATCATTTTCTGTATTCAGACGCACACCAATGTAATGTGACACAAGTTCGAATTTAATGTGGGTTTATCGGCAGTATCGTAGAAAAATTCTCCAAGCCCCATTGGCAATTCCACATTTTGCCGACACCCCATGCACCGGGCAATAAACTCAGCTCTTCCCAAAGAAGGCTTACTGCCTGGCTAGATGGACCCCTGAAGTTTGAGCTAATATTATTGTCAGAGGTTTTCACTTCTTTGCCGACTAGAATGGTTCGCTATTTAGACGCACGCCCACGGCGTAAATCTAATATGACGCAAGGTCGAATTTAATGTGGGTTTATCAGCTGTACCGTACAAAAATTCTCAAGCCCCTTGGTACTTCTTTATTTTAGAGACGCCTCAGATACCGGACAATAAACCCAGCCCCCCTACCGTAAGAGAGGTACTGACTAGCTTCTGATGCTCGAGCTAATGTTATTGGAAGAGGAGGAAACTGCTCTGTCGGCCAAAATACAATATTCTGTCCCACCCCTTACTTGGGCACATATATCGTATTTGTGGCTTAGCTATGATAATTAGGCGGTCATTTGCATATCACTAGAACCATGTGTTTAAAACTTCTTTACTCATATATAAATTTACGTTATTCTAAGTATCCTTCTGTAGAACCATATTTTTGTTGACTCAATATCCACTTCAACTGTTATATACGAGTTCATCATTTTTTCATTTGTTTCTAACAAAATGTTCCTGTTTATTACTTTTTTGTCTACTCTTTGAAACTAGTCAATGTGCCTTCGGATTTCCATGCCATATTTATCTAAATCTGTTAAAACTTCTTAAATTACAGAAGTTAAAACCACGGTTTTAAAAGAAAACATGCTTCATAGTATTGTGTACATATATGAATAATGTCCACAGCGCAGGACTTCTATATTCAGAAGCTTGATCCGACACAATCACAGTCAAATATTTTTATTTATTTTATACTAAATTCAGCTTCGTACCTAAATATTTACAAAGAGTACATCGTATAAATTAAATTCCCTATGATTCATTCTTCATTATTTGACGTATCCATTTAGGACGTGGGCGATCGTGGCTCTCCACAATTTCCTGTCCTTTGTAGCTTTTAATAAATTTTGTCTTTTTGTTATCTCTCCTAAATCTTGTTCCGTCATTCATTTACACAAGATCTTTTCTTCTTCTTCTATATGCCGTGTCACTTCAGGACATTAGCAATGTTGTCCATTTGTTAGCCCTCCTAAACCTAGTTCTGCCATCCATGTAATCAATTTCACCAGGTAGGTTAGGCGTTGTTTTCCTCTGTCCCTCTTACATTAAAAACCTGTCCTGTGGGTATCATATTTTCCACACCCTGTTACCTAGACATTTCATGTCTCTTTTTGATGCTAAATATAATTTTCTTTCTTGTTTCCATTTTCTCTAAAACTTCGTCGTTGTTCGCATGTTCGGTCCATGGTATCCTCAGCATTTTTCTGTAGAACCACATTTCAGATTTCTTCTGCGTCATGTTTCTTCTTCATCTGTGAGATTGGACAACATTATCTGCCATATAGGAGTGCTAATATAACAGACCAGTACTCTCTTCTTTGTTTCTAAAGATTTTTTGAATGTATCTTTGGTTGATTCCAGGATAGTTGTGTACTGGACATTTACGTCCCGGACAATTACGTACCAGACAGTTGCCTCCCTGGATAATTGCGTACCTCTGATAATTTTTGGAAGATTTTAAAGGCAATAAAAATAATTTTTGAAGAAAGCATACGTAGTAATCATATTTTTTAAAAAGAAATAAATGGAATTAAAAAAATATTTTTGTTTAAAATGCAATAACAGATTAACATTGTTGCAAGATCGTTCTTAACATCGACAGTAGGTTTTATTACATCGGCGTTTTTTTTTCCTGATAATGGTAGTTGCAATTTTCCTCGACCACAAATATTCTTACACCAGTGTTTGTTCTTCGGAATTTAGCCAAGGTTCCAAATAAAAATATAATCTATAAAATCCAGAAACTCTTAGATGTTTGTGGTACGCACTGCTGGAGTCTACTGAAACTGGTAGTTTAATTTTCTCTTGCTTTAAAAAGGAAATTTTTCTCTCTCATTTTTTTTATATATGGTGACTACATTTCTGCCTGTTTAGAGCAATTAACGCTATTGGTGTGCAAATTTGTATATTAAACAACTCTAAAAAAAAATAATAACTTCAAAAAATTATCAGAGTCATGCAATTATCCAGGGACGGATTTGTCTAGGGACGCAAATGTTCAGGGATGCAATTGTCTGGTACGCAATTGCCCGGGACGTAAATAAATTCCTTGGGATTTCAGTGTTGCACTTTCTGACTTCTGTTAAAAATACTCAGATATTTAAATTTTACTTTTTAGGTTTTGGTATCATCAATTTTTATTTTGCATACTGGGTTTTTCCTTTGAATTACAGTCATTATGCTACTGTTATATGGCTTAATACAAGTGGGCCTTAATGATGCAGACGCTCAGAATTTGTCTTAGTATTCAATAAATATTGGTTTCTTAAAAAGAAATGCGGCGGAGAACGATATTTCCCCAAATAACTATCGTAGGGCCCTTTTCGACTAAATGTTTATAAGCACGTAGCAACTGGAGGATATGTTCTATATATGTAAAATGTCTCTGTTTGTAACGGAAGTATAGATTACGAAAAATAAATTGAATTGATCCTTAGTTTATCTGATTTTATGAATAGAAATTTAATATTGAAGAATATTAAATTACCTTTAAGTGAAAACGTTAAATTAACTTCCAAGAAACAAGGCAAAGTTTTTCGAATTATATCTTGCAGTTAATTTCCCATAAAAAGAAACATCAAATATTATAATTACTTCAATTAATTAACTTATTTTCTAAATGTAAAAAGCAAATATTTCTCAAGTTTGCAAACAGCGAACTAATGCAGACTAAGACCGAAGCTAAAATCCTTCTCTCCCAGTGGAACGGCGGGATTTGATTTAGGCCTCCAGTTCTGTCTGTCAGTGGCCCTATGATAGCAATTGTGAAGTGAGAAATGCATCGTTTGATTTGATGATATTGCCAAACTTAGCGAAAGAATAAGTTCGTGACACAAGAAAGGAACAGGCATTTTAATATGAGTTGACCAATCCAAATTTAAAACCTTGATTTAATTATTTAAAAAATGTTTATATCTCATTATTTTAATTTTCTCCATAAAATAATTCCTCGATCCGGCAACTAATTGCTCGACAGAATTTGTCTGTAAAATGTAAACGCATTTTACATCAAATATCCTTTCTTTAAAATTAAATTTGGCAATTTTAGTGGCTATTTTGAGGTCGGAAATGACTAGCCTTCCCTAGTCATAAACAAACCTGGCACACAACCCTACGCCTAGGCATGTTCAAATAGCTTTCGTAGGATCAGCGAAGTTAAGCAATGTCAAGCCTGGTCAGTACCGAGATGGGTGACCTCTTGCGAATATCAGATGATATAAGCTTGGATATACAGATGGTTCAAGGCGGTAATAAATCGGAATTTTTAATCGGGGAGCCGATTTCCTATGACAGTTGGGTTCGTTATATTCACTTACGCGCAGATATTCTTGAGGAAAGTAGAAATCCACCTCTTTTCCCCCACCTATTGGTTAATTAGTAAACTTGTATCATTATCACCTAGAAAAAATGCATACAATCTTATATTTTCTGGCTTTAAGTAAAATGCAAATGGTTGGGAAGTCGTAAAAACGAATCAATCACAACGCTACGCCACCAATGCATACCTTTTAGTTTTTATTTTTATTTTTGTTTATTTATTTGCAGGTATTCCGATTTAAATTTGGAGGAAAAATAGATCTCTGGACGTTTTTATTGGATATTTTCTTTCTTTTTCCAAAATACCCAATATAAGAATGTGTTCTGCAGTCTTTTACTGTCTAAACAACAGTCATTTGTTGCCCCGTCTCCGTGGCAAAGAATACGCCAAATGCATATCATGTGGACGCTTGCAGACACGAATAGAATTTCGAACAATATTTACCTATGCAATTAAGATTTAAAAAGCCAATTCGTGCCTATATAATCAGCTATATACACGATCAATGATTAACTATAACCCGAAATATGAACATGACAAATTTGGACCTATCGGAGTATGTATAATCCCGTTCGATATTTACGTATTCCCCACAAGTATAAATACGACATTTTTAACTATAGTCTCATGTATAAACACAGGCAGCATTTACCGGTAAACCATGCATAGACAAGATAAATCATTATATAAAGCCTCAAGTATAAACACGAGGAATATTTACTGTGTGCTCAAATATGAACAAAGCAATGTTTACGTTTAGATTCGTGCATAAACTCAGACTATGTGCTCAAGTATAAACACAGCCAGATTTTACCTATAGACTTATATATAAGCTTAATCAGTGTTTACCCACAAGCGCGAGTATAAATCCATTTAATATTTAACTAGAGGCGCAATTAAAAGCACAGAAAATGTTATTGATTCACGTGTCCATTATTAACCTATGGTCTCAAGTATAAACGCGATTTTTTTTCATATAAACTCAAGTAAAAACCCGTTCAATATTTGCCTTTGGGTTCAAATACATACACAAATAATGTTTGTACTAAAGTCCAACCATCACCAATATTTATGTATGAACATAATTATAACAAAAACCAATTTCGACATTTTCTTCGCGACGCTCTTTGGACTGCCATCTTCAACCTCTCAAGTGAAAATTGCGTCACTGAGTTATCCTCTTGGGTCAAAGCCGACATGGACGCTTTCTTCCCTTCTTGGAAAAACGAAATGAAACCGCAATCTTCTCTATGGTTCACACCAGCATGCTCGGCGGCCATAGCACACACGAACTGCTATTGCTGGTTATACCAGCGTTGCAGCCCTCGCCATGACAGGCCTATTGTTACTGCTCGTGACAAATGTTTGCTGAGAGAATGAGGTATCGCATAGCCTCGAAAAACTTTTGCGTTCGTGATTACCGGTGATCCTTTAAGATAAATAAATAAATGCAAGGTCTCTATTCCCCACTCTTCACTCGATTTGAGGTGTTATCATCTTCTGCTGATAAAGCTGAATGCTTTGCCTGTAAATTCTTCTCTAATTCTACACTTGACTCATATGGAGTATCCCTGCCTAACTTACCACTTAGAACTGATTCTCTGTTGAGCGAAATGCATATAACCCCTTCCATAGTTTCTGCTATCACCTCTAACCTTGATCCCCACAAACCATTTGGACCCGATGGTATCCATGTTATAGTCATTAAGAAGTTTGCGCCCGAACTGGCTCCTGTTCTCTCTAAACTGTATTTTCCTCGCTGCCTCTTACTTTCCTTCCTGTTAGAAGTCATCGCGTGTTATTCCAGTTTTTAAGAACTCTGGTGAGAGGTCCAACACTTCCACCTATCGGTCTCTATTTTTGGGAAATTCCTAGAGACCCTCTGAATTGATTCATCATCTCTCATCGCAGGGCCTTTTTTCACACAAGCAATACCGTTTGCATTTTTTTTTTCAGATCAACTGCTGATGTACTAACGATAATTGCGGAAAAGTATATTATACTCTTGATAAAAACGGTGAATCCCGAGCTATAGTACTGGACATATCGAAAGCCTTTGACAAAGCCTGGTATTCAGATCTTCTCCACAAGCTGCAAAATTACGGTATCTCCGGGTACAATTTTGAGCTGATCCAGGCGTTCCTATCAAATCGTGAATTGAAAGTTGTTCTGAGCGGCCATTCTTCTACATCCTTTCATATTAACACGGATGTTCCCTAGAACATCATCTTTTTTTCCTACACTGTTTTTAATCTTCATTAACGATCCTCCCGATGACATAAGCTCGCAACTTAACATCTACACTGAAGTCATTATCATTTACTTCCGCCTCGATAGTAAGGTTGATCAGTTCGACAAGTTCAAAACGATAGCTGATCTCGAAAACGACCTCAAGACCGTCGTTAACTGAGGCAAAAGATGACTTGTCAATTTTAACACCTCCAAAACTAAACCTCTTTCCGTTATCATCTGAGAGGCCCCTCCCAGGCTTCCATCAGCATAGCGGACGCTATCCCCACACCCAGGAAAATAACTCATTGCGCCTTCTCGGGCTAACTTCCTCAACCTACATGAGGTGGAAAGACAATATTTAATCCATTGCTAGGTCAGCTGCTAAAAAATCAGTTCTCTGTTCCGGACAAGACAATTTTTATCTCCAGAATCTATCTTGCATATCTATATGCCGACCATTCGTCCAAGCTTAAATATTGCTGTCATTTATGTTCCGGTCGCCCTGCTATTTAGCTGAAACTCTTTGATAAGATCCAAAGAATAACCAGCAATATTATTGGTCCTGATCTGGCGGCTCGTCTTCAGTCACTTGCCCACCGCCGCATTTTTGCCTCTCTGTTTCTTTTGTTATAAATACTTTCATGGTAATTTTTCGGGTGAGCTCTTTAATCTGGTATTGAGACCTACTTAAGCACAATACTAGTCTGGCAGCGAGATCTCATCAATTTACAGTTGAGCTGGCTAGATGTAAACGGAAGTTCTATACTAAGAGTTTCTTTTCTTCTTGTTTATGGAATCCCTACTTCCGGTTCCATGCTTTCCAACCAACTTTAATCTGAAAAAATTTAAATGAAATGCCAATCGCTCTCTAATGTCCTCCTGATTGCTCTTTTCTCTTTCTACTCATTACTAAAGTTTCTGTTCCTAATTCCTCCATACCCTGTAACCCCTTGAGTGTTAGTGGTTGTACTGCCTTGCTTGGGGTGAAGCCGATTTAGAAAATAAATAACCCAACAAGTTTTATCATGTCGGAGAATATGCCAACCGAATTTTGTTTCTTTTGTTCCAGGTCTTTGATTGCGGATTCACTCTCTGAAAAATTAATTTTTCAGACCTTATTAAATCTATGAAAAAAGAAAAAAAATCTTTCTTTTCCACAAACAATTTTTCCTGGAGAAAATATGTTTCATTCTTCTTTTGTGTGTCTGATTAAAGCCGAAGAAATTATCTGTGGGAAAACATCGTTGATGATATTAGTTTAGTTTAATGATTTAAAAAAACAAACACAATATTTGAAGAGGTTTCGACCTTAACATAAACATGAAATCAGCTTCGGATAAAATGTGTTAGCTAAGTTCACTTGCAAAGTAGGTACAAGTGGGTGGGTGTGTCGATGAGAATTTACGGATATATTGTAGCATAAGCCCAGTGAACATGTCTAGCCGGTTGGGGATTGGCGCCATTTGGTTTGGCATGAGAAGAAAGCCTGCGGTTGCAAGGTGAATAATTCTTCGGCGCAATCACGTAATTTTCTTTCAATGTATTGCTGTATGCCATCATTTGCATTCATTCAACAATGTAGAACATTGTCACGCACGTATTTCCGAGAAAGCGACATTGCTATGGGGTGTGTTGGGGGCTCATTCGATACAGACGGAGGTTCGGCAATATTTAGACAGCGTTTGGAAAGCAAACAACGGTGGGGAATGGTCTAAATGAATTAGATTTCGATAGGGATACTGTGTTGAATCCTGGAACTTATGACAGTTGCCCCTAACTAAGTCAGATTTCTGTCTCTCTCTCTCTACCAGGAGTTCAAAACTGTGGAGTTGTTGAGGTGAGTCTCCGAGGCTAATTACAATAAAATTCTCTTGTTATAACTTTTCAGAAATTAAATAACTACATTTGAGTTTCAAACAGACGAACCGAGAAGACTGTTTCGTAAAGAATTATTAACCAGAAAATCCATTATTCCAAATACCACTTTTAGTAAATATTCTGAAAGTACTTATGACCTCTTAATCTGTCAAAATTCTAGAACAAATGATATTTTCATAATATTATTCACGCAATTCAAGGCTCAAGAGTCACTCAATCTAGAGAGTTACTAAATGAAATTTTTATAAGGTGCATATTATGAGGATATGTGCAATAGATAACAATTGACCCTAGACTTGAAGAGATTAAATCTGTAGTAATCGGGAATGCATCATCATTTGAGACTGTTCCATAAAGCAACCTCTGCAAAAGATGTAGTCTGAATGGAGCCTCCTCCTTATAAATAGAATGCAAAGTGAATTAGGATTCACGATTCTGTAAGAGGAATGGTGGGTTCTAGCTGTGAACTTGTGAACTGGTGACATTTGGAAAAATATCTCGTCTTCCATAGTCATAGCAAGAGAGTAGCAAGAGGCTAGCCTCTCGGAAAGGAGTTATACGATGTGAGGGAAACAATTCCCAAGGCCGGGTAAACGATTTGGAACATTTTAAAAAATGAGAAATGGGAAGATCCAGCCCTAATATGGCAGAAATATATTTTCTTTTTGTTCTGATCTGACTTTTGTAAGTACAGCGTGCGATGGAGGAATTATCATCTAAATTACGCAAAAATAAAAATAACACTGACATCTCATTTTGACAGATATACTAAAGCATAAATTTATTCAATAAAATCGCTATTGGCTTCAATCACGACATCCAGACGTGTAATCCCCCATAAGTCTTCTGGGTGGCCTCCTTCTTTAAGTTGGTGAATGCTTTCATAATCCTTGCTTTCAGGTCATCTTTGGTGTTACTATGAATTTGCGCCACACACAATAATCAAGGAGGAGTTAGGTGGCCAGATATAAGTGGTGATGTGGTCTCAGAAATTGTCTGGCAGCCATGACTGGGTTCTCCTACTTGTGTGGCATGGTTCAGAGTCCTATTGTCAGACATAGAGTCTTTCAGTAGCCACCCTCTTGACTCAGGGCGACACTACCTCTTCAAAGCACTTGATGTAGGCCTCAGTGTTAAGTCTGAGTCCATGTGTATAGATGAATGGAAGCATAATGTCGCCATCACTAGTGATGACTCCAAACACCTTCGTAATCACCATTAGACTCATCCAACTCTTTCTGGATGATCTGCACTGTCTTCAGATTGACGTCAAACACTCTGATACGTTCATATTGAAACTTCCGGTGCGAATACCAAACAGTACAGGAACTTTCTAGCGGAGTGATAATATTAGCAGTTACCATATAAGGTACCATTCGACATTTATTGACTGAACAGTCAGAACTACTGCCAGTTGAAATTTATAAAATATTTCTTTCAATTATTTTACAGGAAAATAAGTTTAACTGTTATCACTCTTTTGATTATTGATGAGGCTATTCTTCCTAACTCTTATTTGAAGTAGACTGGAATGTCAACATCTTGATTATGTCATTATTTTTCTCTTCTTGTTACATGTGCTATCCATTTTAGTTGTTGCTTCTGTTGGAAGTCCTTCAAGTAATTTGAATTTTGTTTATTTGATACAGTTTATGATTCTGTAACGCCAGTCTACAATGTTCGAAGAAATGTGGGGTCTTTGTCAATGCTCAGGTATTTAACTCGCTTAAGGCCAGTGAACCATTAATCTGAGAAAGATATTGTACCCAGCAGACAGTTCAGATATATCTGAACACGTTTGACGCCATGCGTGGCATCCATATAAAAGTCTCGATATGACGAGGCTGTTTAATAACATGACATGAGTTTCAGGTTAATGTTTTAGTTTTGTAATCTTGGGTGAAACTACCTCATTCATTTTCTCCTATAGTAAACTTGTTATATCTGATCCCTACACCGAGGTATTTGAAGTGTTTAGTATTTACTAATTCCACATTTTGAACGTTTATGACGTATTTAGTGTACATGTCATAACAGCTTTCATTGTAATTCCAGATCATATTTTCTGTTTTGGAAAAGATTATCTTGAGTCCTATTTCAAGAAAAGTTTTTGGTAGAGAATGTTGTTTAATTTTGTTTTGTTCAAGATCATTCTTATCCCCGTCATCATCAGTACATTAGGAGGGGAGAAGATCGGTGTCTTCTATTGGTAGATTCGCCCGAGGTGTGGTATGGAAGGCTTAAATAAGGGGTCATAAACCCCCAGCCCACGGACAACATCAGACCCCCTAAAGGATTTTTGTTCGGCCCTCTAACTTAACACTGGGACATTAATTATCTAATTAATTTGTGAAACAACAGGCAATAAAAGAAATATCACTCGAAGTTAATTGACTCACAATGCGACGAATTTTTTAAATCAAAATTTCATTCCGAATTCACCGCTGACTTCTACAAGAAATACATTTTGCTAAACGTAAAATATAAAAGTCTATTGAATAATGCGAAAATGTTATCATTATTTGAAAATACATATGCTTCTGAAGAACTTAGAAAAGGAAACGTACTAAACGTTTTTTAAGAACAAGGTTGGTTGATGAGAACCTGGATGATGTTTTGCTCCTAACATCGACAAATATTTCATCTAATGTGGAGAAGTTATCGGACAAGGAAAAACAAGTGTCTCATTAAATACTTTGCCATTTCTAACTGTATTTCGTTTCTAGTAAGGAATTTGTATTTTTTGATAGTTGCTATTCTGTTATTCCTGCAGTAAAATAAGAAACTTTGTTTAAATAATATAACATTAACATCGTGTTTTTTTTTTTTTAATTTAAACCTCAAGAGCAAAGCAGTTTTCTGGACGGAGCCGTCGGGGGTTGAAATAATTTATTATATTACATTTAATATCATGACATTTTGGCCCGCTGTCTCTAAAAGATTGCCGACCCATGGCTTAAATGATCAGTCCTCTTTTTTCACATTTATACTTGTAAATGGGCCGGGTATAGTCTAGGAAAATATTAAATAGACATGTGGGAGGTGGCATTGTTCTTATATGCCTCAGAGTAATGGCCATTAGCAACGCCATTCACAGACTGACCTGACTGGAAAAATTTAACGGGATAGAGTTTCTCGCCGATTCCATATCTGTCAAGTTTGTGCTTTAATCTGTCCTGCGACACCTTGTTGAAGGTCTCCAAGACATCTAATTCGATCGCTAGCCTGACCATGCTTTTTTTCTCGATCGTCGATGAATTTTTCTGATAAAATCCTTATCAACACATTTACGTATCTTAACTTTTATTCACTCTGTAATTGTTGCATTGATTCTTGAATATTGATTTTTTTCCGTAATTTCATATTGAAATTATTAGCATTGCATTACATTAACGTTATTCTATTTGAAGTATTGTGGTAATGTTTTGCCCAGTGATAATTTTGTTCCACGGAAAATTCTGAAAAAACAAAACAAAACAGAATCAACTAGGGCTAAAAAGAATTTCAATCACAAAACGGATAATAATTGTAGCTTTTTTCCCCTCCACCTTCAGGAATATTTAGCAATTGTTATTTAAAAATGAGGATGGCACTGGTGGAAAAGGGAAACAGCGATTAATTCAACTGTTCCTCATTTAAATGTTATTTTCTCGCATTTAAATTGGGTAGAATATTTAGATGCTTCTTGAAGCAACTTTTAAGACAATTATCGAGCGACGACAGAAAGTGTACGACGTACGGTCGAAAATTAAGTATTGCTGTAACCTAGGAAAAGTTACTGAAAGAGGAAAAAACAAAACGGAGGTTGGATATGTAATGGTAATCTTTATAACATCAACAAAATAAAATACTCGCCATCGGCGTGATGTAGGTAAACCACTGCTAATGGTGTACTACTTAGCAAATTACACCCACTAACAACAGTGTCTAACGTATTTATGAGGCTTGGGACATACCCAATAGTGTTCATACGTAGAGTATATAACAAGAATAATCGATTTGAACAATGCCTCAGGTAAGCCTATTAAAAGACATCAGTTGATTTTAACCGGTTAAGAACAGTTCCACTCATGGAAATACTTTGGGACATAACTTGTTGATACCAGATGAGCATTAACTGCATTATATATTGTATTTATTTTGCATTTTAATTTTATCTCTGTATATTATCGATAAAATCCCCAAAATTAATGAACGATCGCCTGGTATAAAAAAATAGGTTCCTCAAGTGGAGTAAAAGGCGCTAAAAGTTTTGGCCAAAAACAAAAGTAATCTTAAAGTCTATTTCGTCATGAAACAGACATACAGCTACATTTTCGCAGAAACATCGGTTCTCGTATGAAGTTAAGCAACGTCAATCCTGGTTAGTACGTAAACTTGGATATTCGGGTGGTATAAAGGTCTTACGGCCATATCACGTTGAAAAACTAGTTCCCATACGATCAACGACTTTGAGCAGCGCCGAGCTTGCTCAGTACCTAGATGAGTGATCGCTTGGGAATACCAGGTGCTGTAAGCTTGGATGTGCGGGTGGTGTAATGAATAACGGCTCGGAATTAGAAAATAGGGAGTCGATTTGCAGTTCTAATTGTGTTCGTTATATTCATTTACGCTCAATTACCCTTGAGAAAGGTATGAATCCACTTCTCTTCCCCCGCTATGGTTCTAACTGATAGCAGACACGGAAAAGAAATTAAAAATCTCCTCCAGAAGGTAGCGACGGAGAGTGCGAAGAAGGGACTAAGCATAAACTACAAGAAAACAGAATGCATAGTCTTCAGCAAAAGGATGAGCCCGAAATGCGCTTTGCAGGTCAGGAATACAAGAATCATGCAGCCGAGGAAGTTGAAATGTCTGGGAAGCGTTCTGACAGAGGACGGTAAATGCAACACTGAGATACGTAGGGATGGCCAAGATCTCATTCCAAAAGCTAGGCAGAGTATTCCGAGACAAGAGGATATCTTTGGTAACAAAGAAAAGAATACTAAGCTGTTACGTGACAACTATCGTTGTTTATGGCGGCGAATGTTGGACGATTTCCTCAAAGATGAAGAAGTGACTCGAGGCGAGGGAGATGTGATTCTACAGAAGGATGCTAAAGGTATCAAGGACCGAGCGTGTGAGCAACGATGGGGTCTTAGAGTGGATGCAAACAAGGAGGAGGCTTATACTTATGAAATTCCTGAGACACATAATGAGGAAGGAAGGCCTGGAGAATTTGATACTCACCGGTCGAATAAAGGGAAAGACAGACAAGGGAAAACAACGCATGACACACCTAGCGGTCTTAAGCAAATAGATGACATAACGGGGTCTGGGGGAGGTGACAGAGGGAAGGAACTTGTTGAGAGCTGCAAGGGAAGGTCAGGAGAACAGTTAATTTGAAAATATCTGGAAAAAAAAGACAGAGGGGAAACTAGGTCACATGCGTCTGAAGCCGAGATGCCAAGTCAGGATCGATTGAATTGCAGACTCTTCTTTGAATTTTGTCAAGAATCTTGAGATATACAGCAGGAACACCAGATCCTATTTTTAACGGAATTTTCCTGTTTGTTAATATCTTGTTTAGTTTTGCAAGGCATCTTTCAAAATTTTAATACCACTGCATGTTTAGCTTTTGTAGTGTCTTCTGAAAAGGCGACCGTTTGTTTACAACGCAAAATGTGAATCTATACCGTTAGTTTCGGATCAATGAATAGAAATGACTAAAGCTATTTGTCAAGTCAGAAATTTGAAAAAGTATTGTTTGTTGCCGGGGCATTAGCCCATTAAGAACCAGAGAGTGGGAAAAGAACGAAAAAAATAGCATATTTCGTGGTGATTTCATATTAAATTACCCCCGCCACATTTTAACCGACAAGAAGGGAAGAATGGAAACGAAAAAGAATGATTAATGGCCGGTGAAATGTTTTTGATAATACGCGTTTGCGCCAAGAAAAGGTTTCATTGTCTTCAGAAACCAACCACTCTGAAGGTGTGAGTAAATTGGACGTTTGGTTGTTCGTTACAGTGACTAAATAACACGTTTCAGCTGGCTTTAGAGAAGTGGCCTCTTTGTGTCACTAGTATATTGACGAAGCTAGATAAAGGCAGTGAATGAAAGAGCATTGTATTTAATTCTACTGTGGAATATATATAATATATATATATATATATATATATATATATATATATATATATACTTGAATTGATGTGAGTGCGATGAATAAATTGTCGGAATTCTATATTTTAATTTCGCGCATGCGCGTTGTTTGTTTTTGAGTTTGTCGATCGCACAGTATAGTAGGGTCAGTTGGATACCGGAAGCACCAATACTGATTATTTTAGCGTTTTTGGGTTTCCCGCTATTTACGATCGTCAGTTTGTCAGTATTTACTACTGTATTCATGTGAATGAGGACATACCCATTATCGTCCGTAAGTATGCTACAATATATATATATATATATATATATATATATATAGATAGATATAGATAGATAGATAGATATAGATATAGATATGTGTGTGTGTGTGTGTGTGTGTGTGTGTGTGTGTGTGTGTGTGTGTGTGTGTGTGTGACATTGAAGTCAACACTCAGAGACGACAGACTGTTTCATGTTAGATATAATCGTCAGGCCACATGTGTCATCTGGGGTGCAACTCATACTGATCTCATAAAGGGTAAGAAAGTACTTTGGAAATAAGAGACATTTTCACTGTTACAGTGTATTTTTTGATTCATTGATTTGCAATGCACGGAAAAATATTCGTGAATATGAAAGGATTATGATAAAAATAAGCAGACATAATGTTTGTAATTTATTCAGTCAGATATGCCTAAAAGAGAATTTTTTCTGACTAAATACACAAAAACACACACACACACACACACACACACACACACACATATATATATATATATATATATATATATATATATATATATATATATTATAAATTAATTGATTTAAAATATGTTTTTTTTCGCTACACAGTTCTAAACATGTTTCAAAAATGGAAGCTAAAAGCCCTGAATTTAATTTTTTGTGATTAAATTAAAGACATTAGTTCCATTTCATCCTCAAGCAAATTTTGAGCAACTTTTAAAAGTATATATATATATATATATATATATATATATATATATATATATATATATATATATATATATGTGTGTGTGTGTGTGTGTGTGTGTGTGTGTGTGTATCTATCTATCTATCTATATATATATATATATATATATATATATATATATATATATATATATAGTTAATCCCTATTGTAGACTTATTCTCAGTTACATCTGTTTTGATTTAACACCTACAAAGACAATTTATAGTTTATACTGCAACTATCTAACGCGGACCTTTCCTACAGTTTTGTGGAAGAGAAGGCATAACCTGATGGGATCTTCAGTTTGAATGTGGTCAGTATGCTCAAGCACACGATATTTCATTGTGTTGCTCATGTATAGCCATATAAAGGAGAGGACGAGGAAAAGCTCTTGGAACATTTCGAAAATTTAACCAAACATTAACAATTGAAAGAATCCAATCATGCTTGAGCTGAGAACTTAGCAATTTTCTCTCTTTCTGTTTTTTTTTTTTGTTTTTTTTATTTATTTATTTTTTTGTTCCTTTTACTTTTTTCACTCTATGTGTACAAAATGGACCGAACGTTGGGAGTATGTGAAATTTACGTCAGCAGGGAAAATCGATTTTAGCTGAAAATGAACTCAAAGCAATAAATATTATTTGATATCAAAGGAATATTAAACGAACAAAAACACGTATGATTTCAAATGAATATTAGTTGTATCGGATTTTCTGTATTTTCATTTTTTATATATAAATATGAATATAATATATTGCACATGGAGTGCTATCAGAGCCATTAAGTATATATTTATAATTATTTACATTATTTACGTTATTCGGACTGTTATCCACATCTTCATTATAATATCCACAACGTTTCAACCGTTGGACGCTCCGTCCTTCTTCAGGTGATAGGAATGTAAATAACGTAATTAAGCATAATACCTTATCTCAGAGATATAAACATAAATATTAATAAATATACATATTATCTTTCACCGGTAGCACAATTCGGAGTTTCATGCACAACCCAATCGCCAGGTGCTGAGTGAAGACTGACCTTTGCGTAATTTAAATTTTAATAAAATGATCTGGTTAACGTAATGTTGACATATTCCATATAACACGGGGATTACAGTTTTTTTTTTAATTTAAAATTATATTTAACATTATAAAATAAAAAAAAACAATTTAAGTTGTAAATTATTAATTTTATATTAAGTTTAAAGGGAGATTACTGGGTTATTTGGCAATTTGTTATATTTTTTTCGTTAAAACCTAAGAAAGTGTAAGTATATAATTTACATTGAAAATTAATATAGATCAATTTATTTCAACAGATATTTATTTTTAGGACTACATGTAACCATGAATTCATTTCTCTAGTTTAATAATAGCTTAATATCTGTTATATTACATCGAGTACTGTTTTATTAGCACCAGCATTCCATGTGAGATATATTCATATTTTGCTTCTTTTTCTTGAGCACTATTATAGGTGTAATAAAAGTATTTATACTTAGTATCCTAACCGTTATCACAATATGGAACCACACATCATGGATTATGGTTCCTGATATGAGGTCTTATAAACTGACCGTTTAGCACAAGATGGAAAGCCTCATAAAAAGAATGAATGAAAAGGATACTCGTTTTCTTTAAAGAAGACCTAAAGAGTGCCGAACTTTATAGATTTAAGTCCAGTAAGAAACATCTATGTGTGGAACAACTATTGCACTTCGAGAAAGACCTATTTTGTCTATTATCCTTGATAATAGACAAAATCAAATTTGCTAAAAACTACTAATGGTCTACAACAAAAAATCCAAAAGGACGTTGCAATTATAAAAAAAATCAGATAAAATTGTTATTAAATCAAACAAAACAGATAACCAGTACGGCAAAACTATTAACATAGAAGATAGAAATTTTATGAAAAGGAACCCAACATTTGGGAAAATAACTTCAATAATGAAGCTAAAATATAGCCACTGGATTAAAAATTGATGCTATGATTTACACATTCCACAAACAGCAAGCATTCCTCACAGTTAAAGAACATGAAACTAATTTCCTAAACAACCCACGATACCGGCTACTCAACCCAACTAAAAATAATCTCTATCTATAAAAGGCAGGATGTGTGTGTGTGTGTGTGTGTGTGTGTGTGTGTGTGTGTGTGTGTGTGTGTGTGTGTGTGTGTGTAACGAATGCACAGCCACAGTTTTCGACGGATATGCACCAAAATTTACATGCACATGCTCCAAGTTAGTGAAAAGGCCAAGACCGACGTTGCATTTCCAAGCTTCCATCGATAGTAGAAATAATCGATTTTTTCATGCTTAATCGGCAGTTTTCATGTAGTTTGTGGTCATTTTCTACTGGCCAGAGTGAGAGCATATAGCTGGCTGCCACGAATAGGCAAGAAGATTCTATTGG